GTGTGGAGCACGGTTCGCGCCTTTTCACACGCAAGGAATTACCAACGCAATGAGTCTAATCGTAGTAATGTTGACGTCGAAGGGTTTCGTAAAGCCTTCAATAAGATTGCTCCTTTGACTCGAGTAGAAGCCTCACCTTGTACTAATGTACTGGCTAACATCCATAAACCCCCTAGCTTTCTGGATAGCTCGTTTATGGATGCTCCCATCAGCCTGGAGGAATATTTTGCTGTCATCCGCTCAATTAAACTCAAGTCGGCTCCTGGCCCTGATTTAATATCTAATAACGTTATTTCACATTTTCCCCGAGCTCTCCACTTGGTCATTCTTAGTCTTTTCAATGACATGCTTAGCAGGAAAAGGTATCCTGAACAGTGGAGTGACTATTTCGTAGTTTTTATTCCTAAACCGGGGAAGAAAGGCTCTTATCGACCTATATCCCTGGCTAACAATCTTCTTAAATTCATGGAAAAAGTAATATGTAAGCGCATAGAGTGGTGGGTTGAAAATGGTAGCATCATTGCCCCTTTCCAGTTTGGCTTCTGTAGAGGCCTGTCGTTTATTGACAATTTGGCAGTTCTGACCTCGCAAATCAAGGTCGCTAACAATAATCGGCAGGTTACGGGAGCAGTGTTTCTGGATGTCGAGGGCGCGTTTGATAATGTTATACCTTCTACTCTGCTCTCCATGCTGTCGGCTCTGGGCTTCCCAGACAAGATCCTCGGTTTTATATTCTTTGTTATCTCGTCTAGAAACTTGGAGGGTTATATTTTCGGGATGCCTTTACAAAGTAGGTCAACCTCTAGAGGTTTACCCCAGGGGTCAGTACTTAACCGCTGCTCTTCAGTCTGTATGTGTCGACTGTGGAGTCTTGCCTTCCTCTTCCCGTCAACATACTTATGTATGCTGATGATATCGCTGTTTATTGTTCTCATTCCTCCATCGAGTACGTCTCTCAACAGCTCAACATGTCACTAAGAAATCTTAGTTTTCATCTTGAGGAGCTCGGCCTCAGGCTGTCTCCTGAAAAGTCGACGGCCACCTTTTTTGCTTTGAACTCCCTTCGGAACACAAAGTCACTTATTAAGTCCAAGAAAATCAAAATCTCTTTAAATGGAACTCCTATCCGACTTGAGTGGTCAGTCAGGTTTCTCGGAGTTTGGCTGGACTACTCTTTAAAGTGGAAGCGACATGTGTCTGAAGTCAGGAGACGAGTGATATCTCGCATTAACATATTGAAGGCCATTTCAGGTATTATGTGAGGTGCTCATCCCAGCGTCATGTCTAACGCCTACAAGGGCCTGATAAGGTCCGTGCTGAACTGGGAATGCCAGGTTGTGTCCTCCTTTAGTGCTCGAGAGAGCCTCATCCTCGATCGCCTGCAGTACTTGTGCGTTCGTTTGATATGTGGGTTTATGCGCACTACTCCTACGTTCTCTTGGATATTACCAACATCCACCCGCTTGCGCGTAGACGTAAGTATCTGACGTGCAGGTATGTATGTAAAACTACATCTCGGTCTAGTCATCCCTTGAGTCCTGTGTTCTCTCAGATCAGCACAAACCGGAGACTTATTTGCACAGATAACTGTTTTGATCTGTTTGATCTGGTGGCTGAACTGGCTCCCTCACGAGTCAGGTTGAAAAGTTCTCCCTTCCAGGTCCTCTCGGCTTTCCCTACCTAGTCAGGTTTTTGAGTTGTGAAGTTGATTCAGAGGTTGGCCTTCATCTACGTACCTCTCCCTCTCCACAAAGTTCCTTTTCTACCTTTTTAAACAAAGAGTGTATAAGTCGTGTTTTTTTTTACAAATGGATTGCTGCAACCTTCGGTAGGGAGTGTTCCACCTAGGGCCGGTTATGCGGTGGTGTCCTATGACCCAGATCTAGTTCATTACGCGCAAGTACACGACCTGTCATTTATATTTGACGCTGAAGCTGCCGGAGTCCTTTGCGCCCTCGAGTACGTAGAGGAGCTTGGTTTTGGTCAGGTAGCCGTTGCCACCGATTCCCTCAATGTGATCAGGTGCCTAGAGTCGGTTGATCCTCGGGGTGTCCATCCCACGGTTATTTATAAAATAAAGGGACTTGTCTATAGATTACAATCTCGCGGTGCTCGCGTAAAGTTTGTGTAGGTTCCAGGCCATAAGGGAATCCGTGGTAACGACAGAGCTGACCACTATGCTAAGGTAGCTCTTAGTCAGTCGGTCCCTGATCCGGGTGAGAGGTGTAGCGTAAGGGCTTTGTTCCCTACGCTGCGCTCTGGCTTGGTGGGTGACTCCCGTGCTCTTTTCCTTGAGGAGGCGGAACTTAAAGGTAGAAGGTATTTTGACGCCAAGAGAGTACCTCTGGGGAAACTCTGGTATGAGTGTTTCTGTTGTGCGCCAATTTTTGTAAAGTAAAGGTTAAGAAAGGTGAGGCCATTGAGCAATGTGATGAGACATCACTGTCATTGCTCAATGACCTGGGCAGGTTGCAGAAAGGTAGCAGTTCTAGGAAGAACTGCTGGTTGCCACCGGGTGCGACACATCGCCGCATTGTCCGAAGTGCAACGCAGCATGTGTCGACACCGGCACCGGTAACTAGCACGGCCGTTGCTAGGACTGGTGGGCCTGCTGAATCAGCTCGATCGATCTACTATAAATCGATCGCGCGGATGAAGCAGAAGGGAGACCGTGATTAGACTGCTAGCTCACTGTGTGGCTCCGCAAGCCGGAGAGTTTACCGCAGTGAGATACAGCCGTGTAAGATACAAAAGGAGTTGTAATCGGAGCAATAAAAGATAAGCATACAAGTTCGTGTTCTGAACTTCATCTTTACCACCCGACTTTCCTCGACATCCAATAGTTTCAAAAAACCCCTTCCAAGACCTTTAGTTATTCTAATATCTCGTATAAGGTCCTTCCATACTAGGGTCAACGCGCATTTGGTTGACAAGGATATTTTGGTTTCCGCCTCCTGTCAGTGCGGCCAAGCTCGCCAAGATATTGATCATGTATTCTTTAATTGCCCGAAATACAAAGATGAATCTGACAAGCTTATTATTGACTTGTACCATTGCGGGTTTAGCCCGCCCACGAAAATTACCGATATTGCCTTTTCTAATGACCTGCGTGCTATGCACGCTTTTTTCAAATTTGTCACTAGCACAAAAATCTCCATTTGATCCTCAGACATCCATGCCACACTAAAACTCTTTAAACCTCTCTGCTACCCAACAAAATTCCCTACCAACTTTTGTCTCTCTCGATGCAGTGTGCTCCGTTGCGTATGGAGCAAGCCTAGTCTCCAATACGCGCTGTGATCTACGAATAATCTTTAAAGACAATATACGAACAGCACTCCGGAAACACAGGGGTCAATATGTACTCAGACTGGCGTGTGGACTAATCTTTATGGTCCAAGAGCCATACTTGCACCAAACCAAACCTTTGTTGCATTACACTTTGTGGTTAAAAATCCACTTGCTGTTGTGAAGAACCTTGAGGCAGTAAATCCACTTGCTGTTGTGTAGAAACAGCTAAAACTGGATCAGCTTCTTGTTCCCCGTCGCGAAGTGCTTCGTGGTGTGTAACTACTTGCTGTGTTTCTTGTGGTGTTTGTTGTGTATAGTGGCTGCTTCCCTTTTAGGAGACACAGTCGACACATTCGACACAAAGCGTCACACATCGCTTTCCATTTGTAATTGTGATCGACCTCAATCGACACACTTCGACTCTTCTCGGGAGGAGAGTCAGAGTGTGTTCAAGTGTACTTTTGACGCATATATCTGC